TAATCTGAAATACTAGCAAAAATTTGGATTTTCGCAATTCTGCAAAGACAACACGTGTGCACAGCTAGCTATCGGTTCAATATTTTAGTCACAGGTTTTCTCGACACACGTTTTATCTGGTCCCTATGGCGAATTTCAACCCATACCAATTTACAAATTTGCACTATTCACCTGATTATTTTCAGTATGGGAATGGCTTGTTTTCACCCTTTGGCTCGCAGATATTTTCCCATTTTTTCGCATCCGTCGACGTCGGTTTAAAGCGGCAAGAGCCAACATTTGCCGTTGGCGAGTGTTGTACAATGCGTACAAATCAATAAGGTTTTGTACATTGAACAAATTAAACAGAGAATGAAGAAATGTCGCTAATAAAACTAGCACCAGCTTCATGTCTACAAAGTTTTATTTGGTGCTCTTTTCACGCGTGAAATATTAAGAGTTGACAGTCTGGTTTCAAATATCCTTTATGTCGCACAAGTGCAACCTCCATGACTCCCGTGGTGTAAATGTCGCGACATATTTGTAGGACAACTTATGACGCGACATGAAAAAAATAAGGCCAAAGTGCGACCCCTGCCTAAGGCAGCAGTGAAAATGAAGCCTGAAAATGTAAGCCATATATTTGAATTTCATTTATTTACAGTCATATATTCATCACTTCATGGGTTTGTTACAAACCATCTCCCAGTTTGCTTGTTGGCTCAGTTGGTAGAGCACTGCACTTGTATCGCAGAAGTCATGGGTTGAATTTGTTTCTGCCTTTATTTTGACTGCTGTTCAACAGTGCATTACTGCAAAGACCACTCTCATATTCATTTATTAATCCAAATTTCACATATAAATGATTTTATGATGTCTCCTAAAAAGACAAGGTCTTGACTTGGTCTTTGAAAATTTTCGACCAATCAGCAATCTTTCCTTAATTTCAAAATTGGTTGAAAGAGTGGCAGCCGATCAGATCCAATCCTACTTAAATGAGCATGATCTTTTTCCTTCACTGCAATCAGCCTATTGAGAGCGCCATAGTACAGAAACCGCCCTAAGTAAAGTCAAGAATGACATTTTGATGAACATGGAAGATCAGTGCGTCACGTTGCTTGTGCTTCTTGACTTAAGCGCCGCATTTGATACCGTTGACCATCGAATTCTCTTACATCGTCTCCAATCTTATTTTGGAATTTCAGGCTCTGCACTTAACTGGTTTGAATCATTTTTCTCTAACAGAACCCACCGTATCTCTATAGACGGAGTTCTATCGAATATCTTCAATCTTCAATTTGGAGTTCCACAAGGCAGCTGCCTCGGGCCATTATTATTTTCTCTCTACGCCAGCAAGCTATTTAAGATGTCGAATCACATCTTACTAATCCCCATTGTTACGCAGATGACACACAAATGTACATCACGTTTAGACAAGGAAATGACATGGAGGAAATCGCTGC